AAGCCACAAGGAACCAGTTTGAAGCCCTGCATAGAATTAACCACTCACTCTTCAATACAAGACATTTTTCAGTTTTAAATTTGTGTCTTCAAAAAAATATTTTGTTCTTGAGAGATTATGAATTTCCCTGAAAAAGAATCACAGAACGTATGGTAAACAGTCTCACTTAGATTAAGGTCTGAAAGTATCTCAAAAGGTCACCTAATACAATGGTCCTAGAATTCATTAAGCGTGGAACTCAGGGCACATACTATATTAATAAATATGCATAAAAGTAAAAATACTCCAGTTTTCATTAAATCATATTTTCTCATACTATGTGAGATACATAATGATATTTTCCAATCTGAGATCTTTTCTTTAAAAAATTACTCTGCGCTAATTTAGGGAGCCCGAATGGCACTGTTGAGTAAGCATCAGGCTGCTAACCCCAAGGTAGGTGGTTGACATTCCCAAGGTGCTCCAGGGGAGAAAGCTGAGGCTGTCAGCCCCTGTGACCCTGCACAGCTTCCGAAACCCTACACACCGCTGCTATGTGTCAGAATTCACTAAATGGGTTTATGTGTTAAGTTGACTTAATGTTTGATTAATGGGTAGCTCTATACTTACAGAAGGGTTTAATCCCAGATAGGGCATTTGCTATCTCTGTGACCTTGAAAAAAAAGCCTCATTGGTTAAATAGCTATATCTTTCAAGGGTTTATTTTGATAAACAAGTTAAATAATGTGTGCATAACTTTGTGTTCATGTAAGGCCCCCAGTGAATATTTCTCTTATTGTCCATCTGGCTAAAATAATATCCTTTTAATGACTCAAATTTTTATGCTGTATGTGAGTCTCATAGATAAGAATGCACAGGAGTAGAAGAAGATTATTTTAAGTCAAAAATCCATAGGCTAAACAGATTGGCTGGTCTTCTTTAATGTTATTTATTAATACATTTAAATTTCCCATTTAAAGTAGAAACCTTTAATAAAACACTGGCACTAAATATCTTTCTGGGAAACTGATTAGCATATGTTGAAAACTTAATCAACATATGCTGAAAATGCCTGTGTCTCATGTGTAAATGGGCAACAGAAAAGATTTTATTAACATGGGGATGGTTGCAAATCTGTCACAGCTGGTAATAGTGGTCTCAAAAGGTTATTTAATTAAATGATTGTTTTTGATCCAACCTTGCATAGTTATGAAAGGAAAGTGGAGAGGAGAAAAAAATGACTAGTGGGGAAAGAAAACAATTTTGATTCTACAGAAAAGGGCATCTTAGTATTCACAATTGGTTTGTGAATACTGCTCCTCTATCAAGAAGGACCAGGCCTACTTCCTCACACTCCTGCTCATAAATACACTCAAAATTCCATGTTATATGGACGTTTGGAACTTTCAAGAAAGGGTAGCCTGTCTATGGACCTTAAGACTTGAGAAACAACATGAGGCCGAATTCTCTGCTTTGTTTCTTAGCTTTGTAGGCCAAGAACTGGTTGATGGGAAGCCCCCAAACCAGAAACTTCAATGAGAGTAGACAGAACAAGTAAACAAGAAACACCTGTGCTTTTGAGCCCGAAGAGGGAAATAGGCAGCCTAACAAGTTAGGCAATATCCCATGAAACACGATGGAGAATACCACAGCCAAACGCTCATCGTCATCAGCAATAGACAAGTAATTGTACACCCCAATTTCTCCCAGATGTAAGGATGCAACTTCTCCCACCTATCAGAGACCTGTGATAGTTATATAAATGTCAGTTTGAGGATTAAGAGTGCAGGGGTGGAGTCTAGCTTGTCAATCAGACCATAGCCAACGAGGCCTCTGTGTGGGCATGACCTTCTCCTGAGAATTCTGGGAAATCCGGTACTGCCTCCTTGGGGGCGGGAGACACTTCTCTCTCTGCTGACACTCTGGGAGACATGGCAGCTGACAAGACACATGGACCCACCCTAATGCAGCCCTGGGTGAAGCCATGCAGAGACCCCGCCAGAGCTGAGATGTTTCCAACGCCATTGGATCCAAGGACATTCTACCCACTGGCCTGTGATCTTCTAAATTCGGTGTCATTGCTTGTGTTTCATGAGTCTGAAGAGGACTTTATAGATTGGTATCAGACATATGGGCTAATATCGGACTTATGGACTTGATCTGGACTGGGCTGGGATGTTTTCTCAATGTTCCATTGCTCTTGTATAGAAATCTCTTTCTTATACACATTTGTGTGTCCATGGATTTGTTTCTCTACTCGACCCAGACTAACACAGTATCAGGGAATACTGATTGAGTAGCCAGAACTTTCATTTTCCTCCTACATGTGAGCTAGTGGTCATGAGACGACTCTCTCCTCCCTGCTTGTTTCACAGGAGGCCAACTTAGCAGTTGGCATTTTCACCATCATCCATTGGTAATGAGGCCTTCCTGCTGGCAGTGGTGCAATGGAAATGATGATGAGAACAGTAATAAGGCCTTCATCCTCTTTCCATCCAGCCAGGGTGATGTTAGTTAGTGTAGACACAGCAAGGAATGTGAAATTCCATCTTCATCAGGCAGTAATGAGGCAACCCCTACCTGGGTGTCCTAGGAGGATAAATGGGGAGCCTGGATGTATAGCCTCAATTGGCAAGAATGAATCTGAAATCAGCTGAAGTCAATCTTAAGAAGATCTAGAGTCTCATAACAAAGTTTTCAATATATCCAGAATCTAACTGTCCAGAAAATCAGCCCTGGTACCAAGAACCAGTAAAATATAAACTTGAGAAAGAGAAACAAATCAGTGGACGCCAACATGGAGATGACGCAAGAATTGGAATTACCTGACAGGAGCTTTAAAAGAGTATCATGAATTGTCTCAGTGAGCAATCACACACCTACTTGAGCTTAAACATAGAAAAGCTTGAAAAGATAGATGGTACATCAGAAGAATCAAACGGAAATTGAAAAACTAAGATCATAGTTATCAAAATAAAATAGCACACTGGTTGTCTTATTAGTAGAATGCAGAGAGCAATAAATATTATCCTATCTGAAAATTACATATAAAATAAAATTAAAATTAAAAAAACAAAATCTAAGGGACCTATAGGAATATAAATTTAAAACTAATATTTATGTCATGGAGGTTCAAAAGAAGAGAAAGATGGTAGATCTAAAAGCGTATTGTTAAAAAATGGATGATAATTCCCTACATTTGGCAGAAGATAAATAAACCTCTAAATTCAGAGGCTAAAGTTACTTCCAAAAGAACCCAAAAGACTCAAAACTTAAAAGAAACTTCTGAGAATAACACTTAAAGAAAAGGCTCCTGAAAACAGCTTTCCCTACAGGGGCAACAGCAAATTAACTGACAACTGATCTCACGCCATGAAAGAGCCATGTGCCTCAAAGTCTCTTTCTGGAGAAATTATCCTTAAGAATTAAAGTTAAAACAGGAATTGTTTAATGTATGTTCAATATAAAGAATCATTCATTATAATCAAAGAGTAACTATAAGACAATTGGGAGCTGCTCAGATTCAGTAGATACTAAGAGGGACTCAAATACATTTTTTCATAAGCTTTTACAGGTGATTTTAAAGGCAATGGTCTAAAATCCCTATTTTTGGAAACACTAACAGAGAGAGTAATTGTTTATGTGGACTTTTGAAGATAAGATCTGCCAGGGTTTAGTACATACACATGAGCTGACATTCACATTGAGATTCCAAAGATTTTCTTTCATGCTGCTGCCAGGTCATCTCTTGTATGGGGCACGTAGAAGGAGAAATTTTAAGTAAGTGCTTAGCTAAAACTATTTTTCCAACCAATGTATTAAAAACTGAATCCTTATAGAAGTGTCATATCTTATGATTCCTGTAGGAATTACACATCTTTGTCTATTATTTTAACAGTGAGCTAATTTCTAATCATAATAATATCAGTTTTGTGGCCTATTTCATAAAAGAGCAACAATGACTACCTATTTATCCTATGAATCCATACAGAGAAACATTGTCTTGAGTGTCTCAGGGAGAAATAAAATCAACAAATCCTTTCCCACTCCATTGAATTTCCTGAAAGGTAAGTTATCATTTAGACTTGTGAATAGTCTAATCTCACATGTTTACTAAGACTTCCAGTAAATCATAATTCTGAATTTCTAGTAACCGGAAACATGATTTGATATGCTTTACTCCTAAGAGTGTTTCAGGTTTAAAATATAGTTATTTGTCAATTTAAAACACATTTATAACTCTATGAGATACTCGAGTAGTATAAGATAATAAGCCAATACACACACCTCCACCACCACCCCCCAAAAAAAAAAAGCAAAAGCAAAAAGTCAGCAGCCATCGTCCTCCAGTTATTCTGAGACAGGTAATCTT